CATGTACACATTCGCATTCGCAAAACATTCGTATTATTTGATGCGAACGCGAATGTGTAAAATTATGCGAATCATTCGCATAACGAATGCGGATGCAAATATTCGCAACATCCCTAGTATGTACATACACACATAAATATGTACATATATAGCCATTCGCGGCAAAAATCTGCATTTCACAGAATGCTACTCTGTTATACAAATTAAATAATCGCCACGGCAGCCAACCTGTTTCGACATACCCGCTGGCGGATTAGTTGCTCAGCTTAGTGCACTTTGCACATACATATATGAATGCACATGTATGTATGTATGTACATAAATGCAGTTATATAAAGGTTTGTTTGTTTTTATGTATGATTGATATCTACTTTTTATGTCCAGCGTTTGTTTCTTGGCGCTTTTCACACGTTCTGCTTTTCAGCAGCCTGGCAGCCTAATATTGATTTCTGCTACAAAACGCTAATTCACAGGCAAACCAATCAAACCGAAAATTACTTTTGAAATCAAATTGAATAATTTTAATTATTTTAGATTGTAAACAATTTCAAAAAATTTTAAATCAATAATCTTTGCTCAGAGGTGCCGGCACTCCACAGGCGGTAGTTGTGCGCTCGATGGATTCTTCAATGCCAAACTAAGTTCGAATGTGGCTTTGGAGGCTAAAGCAATGATGCGGAAATTAAAATGGTGATTATTGGACTCAATACTAATGTAGGTGCCTATCAAAGCACTAAAATTAATGTTTTATTAAATAGACTTGCAGAGAATAAAATACTTTAAAAAATAATTTTAAAAGCTCAGGTAGCGCGGTGCGCTGGGATAAGATTTCACTTAAAGTTCTTGGATCCAAAAAATACCAGGGTTATCTTAAATTTTTCGTGGGATAATATTTCTAACTGAATCCAAAACCATCCCAAAAGAAAACATTTTTTTTTTTTAATCTTTTTCTACTCATCACTGCGCCCCAACGATGCATTATACCCTGTGCTCTTCACATCAGTTGTGTTCAACTTATGCCCCGTAAAAAGTGCAAACGAGCTTTATAGGCTGGAAAGTTAATGAGCACAGTACGAGTGCTTACATTAGGCCAATATTTCTCTTGTGTCTTATACAAAGATCATCGCATCCTACTGAGAGATATAAATATGTATCGGCAGTCATCACTTTGTCTGGCGCAGTGTGGCGGTGATGTGTCTTCGGAAACAAGAAAGAGGCTCGAGTGGGGATGGCAATTTTCTCAAAGCCATAGTTTCTGCTAGAGGTTTGTCCCCGCCTGAAATATGGCTTCTAGCTCCGGCATCCTAGTTCTCGAACTTTAGATGTGTGGTCCTATATCTTCTGGATCTTTTAGGCCGGATGTGTACCAGAGCGGTGCTCCAGTCAGAGTAAGCCTTGTCTGAGGTATATAATTGAATTTTTCGGGGTTTTTGAGGGCTTATAAATATAGTTAATATTAAAAAATGGTTAAATAAATAATTAGCTGCTATTACTGGAACTCTTCTGAAGAGAAGCAGAGTGTTTCGATCGAAAAATATTGATTTTCAAGAATTCTCTATCATTTCTACAAAAACGTGTTTTTTTCCTATATAAAATACAGGAAAAACTTCATGGTCTTTGGGGCCGTTCTAAATATAATTTTTCTTTTGTTCAACAGAAAAATACGGGTATTATTTTTTTCATTCAGTAAAATCCTAGGGCACAAGAGCATATTTTTTTGAACGCTCCAGTAAAACCCGTCATCGACTCGGCATTCATGGATTAGAAACGAAATGAAAGGCGCAACAACTGGAGCAAATTCGCAAAGACAATTGGTGAAGTGTTGTGGCCTCGGCGCGAAACCGGCAAATGGTTAATAGGAAGAAGATATCCTAGCATTCTAAATACATTTTTAACCATTTCTCTAAAAGAGCACTTTCCACGGCTTTTTTTTAGAGGATTGAATTCTTAGCCTTTTGTTTTATAAGAATTAAAGCTAAATGTTAGCAACAAACACACGGTGCGATTCTTTCTTTTAGCTATTTATTTTATGTGTTTAGTAATAAGATATTAACCGGCGAACTTCCATTTAAAATTACGTACGTATTTATTTATTGCTCAAGTGCATACATGTATCATAAAAATATATATCTATGCACATTAGCGTGGACCGAAAATCCGCTGTTTTAGAATTTTGATTGCTAATAGCAAAAATATCCATCAAAGTTCAATGTGCTCAGAAATTAAAATTAATAATACATTAATTAACACATTTTTTTTTACTAAAATTGCAATCAACTTCGAAAGTATTAGTCCCACATAATTTGGTATATGGACCTTTTTTTAAGGAAATCGAAGTAAGATAAGAAAATATTTTTTTAGCACTGAACTTTCATAGAATTGGGGCGAGCCTAAGATATTGACCAACAATTTTCATCTTTAATACAGATTGCTTTTAGAGCATAATGAACCATATTTTTGCTATTAGCAATCAAAATTCTAAAAAAAAAACCGATTTTCGACCCACGCTAATGCACATACATATATGTATTCTTGTGAAGTTTTTTGTCAGTGCCAACTTTGTTGCCACAACTGTCACTTGGCATTAAACCATTTACGCAAAAGGAACATAAATTAACTTATGTCATGTATTATTGCACAGTTGTCGATATTTAATTGATATTTAATATGTAATGCAAAATTGAGATTGGAATTAAGCTCTGGCAGTGTATACGTATGGATGGATTGAATGCGAAGGCGTTGTAGAATTTCGCACGCTGTTCGGCGAAATTGTCCAAATGAATGTGAGAAGTTGGGCAGATTTTGAGTTTTTTTAGTTAGTACGTGTTGCGTAGTCACTTTGTGACACATTTATTAACATATCCAAGAGACATTTTTTAAAGTGGGTTTCCTCAATACTTTTGCTTATATTCTGAAATTTTAGGTAGGTACATAGTTGCTAAGGCCTTTAAAAGAGAAAAATGAAGATATGCATATATTTATCAAGGACTATGTTAGTTGTTTTAATCCTCGTCATTTTAAATCGTCAATTTTTATATACATATACATTTACAAAATATTGCACTTATTCCAATAATTGAAACTTTTAGCCATTAAGTAGACAGCAGTAATTTTTTTTCTAAAACTCAATCATCTGCTCAAATAAATGTCGCAGTAAAGTTTAATTAACCGTTTTATAAGTACAAACAATTAATTCTGTACAACCGCATAAAACACCGTATATACATATCTTATTTATGAACGTACATACCTACATTTATTCAAGTCCATGTAATAATATTAATTTTTTTTTTTTTATTTACGAATTTTAAAAGAAAGAAAATTTAAATCTATGTGCATGTCAGCGTTGATACTGCAAAAAGTAGATGCTACATATGTCAATTATCACCATTGGCACTTAGCTGATCTGTTACCTGCACCGGAATGCATCAGCAAATCGTTACACTCTCATAAACGAATGACAAAACTTTATCCCTTTGGCTGATGAAAATGAACGATTGACAGAAGTGATCAGGCGCAGGTGACAGATCATTTAAGCAGCACAGGTAATAATTTATGTACATAGAAGGTTTTGCAGTATAAACGACGCTATGGACTAAAATGTACGTTACGTTGCATAGAACAATAAGCAATTTTAGTAACACTTTAGCAGCGAAATATTTGAGTTATTTAATTGTTGCCTCTTTAATTTTTAATTATTCTCGTGGAAAGGTGCAAAATGCTGGCGGCAATATAAAATAAATTATTCACAATCGCAATTGAATGCATTAATTATGAATGCATGCTAAAGCATATGCGTATGTATGGACGTACATTTATTTGCCTGCATTTATGTGAGCATAGCAGGTGTAAACTAAAACAATTATCTATTCAATAATTTACTTCTTCACACAATGACTTCTTGCGTAACCTCAACTAATGGCTTATGCCATAAACTTCAGGGTATCAATTCACATGCCTACTAGTGATGTGCCGAGTCGGCTATTTTTGGTACTCGAGTATTGTGGTACTCATTAAAAAAAGAATCGAGTCAGGATTCGAGTCAGATACTCGGATCAAGGATTCGAGTCAGATACTCGGATCAAGTATTCGAGTTCAGAGCTCGGTATTCGAACACGTTATAGATTCGACTGCAGAACATGCACCCAACCGACTTTTTAATTAACATGATATTATTATTAACTCCAAGATAGTATATCCGATTTAT